TAGATATTGTGTCGCGTGTGTGTTTGTTGTTTACTTTTTTTGGTGTATCGTTTATATTTTACTCGAGGCTAAAAACCTTCCTTATGAGAGATATTGTGTTTCCAAGGATTCGTGTTCAAACATGTTTCGTCTTGTCAAATTGTCGAGCGTATCCCCCCCCCCCCCCATCTTGTTATTCGATGCGCGAAATGGAAGCGCAAAGTGACATCGTTCGACTTGATTCGTCGTGACGATTAAACGTTTGAAATTTTTTCGAGACGTGTATTCTATTTAATGCATTTTAGTATTTTAATATTATTTTTTTTATAGCTACTTTTGTTATCATTTGTGCGTTTTTATTTAATCAATATATCTTTATTCAATGTTTTATTGAGCATTATTAGAATTGATAATTTTTTGACAATAAAATAATTTTGAATTCTTCGTTTGTAATATAATTCGAGTGTCGAATTACAAGATGGCTTATTATATATCGTGAGTTTTTATTTGATTTGATTATCGTGATACATTAACATAATCTAATTTCATACATTTTATCCATTCATTTAGAAATTTTGTTTTTTTTCTGCACAGATTTAATTGGTAGCGTCATAGTACCTATCTCGAAGGCGGGAAAAATTCCAATATGGACGCCATATCTTTCTTGGTGACTTTCTTTCGTGGTAAAATTTTACATTTCTTAAATATAAATTTTTATTCTGTTTTATTGGATTATTAGTGATAGTTGTTAAGCAATTGCTAATAAAATTATATTTTATTTAACAGAAATTTGAAAAAATTAAAAATGTATGAGAAATTTTATTGATTTATCATTAGAAATTAAATTTTATAATTTGGTAACGAACATTTTATCAAATTTCAGATAATAATAAATAATGGGAACATTTTTGTACATAATTCGTAAGCAATTAAAATTAAAAGATAGTATTTTCAGAACAAATGCTCGATAGGAAGAAGAAGAAAAATACGAAAAAGATATTGCTTCTTCTTCTATTTCTTCCCATCCCTGTATTAATTTAATGTTAATTTCAGAATATATTTGTGACCGCGCGCAATGCGGTTAATAGAATCAGTGTTTGTTTCGTCATAGTATTTTAAATATTTCTTAGAGCACAAT